CTAAATTTTTTGTTAAAAATGTTTGCCAATCAATCTTTATTCTTTTCCTTAGGCATGCAAAGAACTCTATTGATTAATGCTCAAAGTGGTAATCTTTTTTTTTTTTTTTTTAAATAATAAATGGTGATGAATTTTACTTGATATTGCATATGCTTTTGAATCATATAACCTGCTCTATTTATTTCGGTTACTTTCCAACCTAATAAACTTTTTGGGATACTTGATTGATTCGGTGTAATGTTCCTATAGGCTGTTGGGTTTGGTGTAATCTTTCTACACTTGCATATTGAGACACTTCAATTATGTTTTCACTCTGTATAGAATACTAGAATAGAAATTACTGACATGATATTATTAGATTACCTGCTTCTTTTTTTTTTTTTTTTTTTTTGACACATGCAACTTGTTCATCTTGTTGTTTATGCTCTGACTTGAGTTACAAATTGATGTATAGTTTGAATTTATTTGTGTTATAATTCAGGCTTGTGAAAGATGATTATAGTATTTTTAGATATTTTGATGCAAAAGCAATGTTAGCATCAGATTTGTGAATACATTTAATGGTACTTGATTAGACTTTCTGTATTCTCTTGGAGAATCCTACTTTAAATTGATTAACTTTAAACAAGGAAAATAGAATTATAAACCGAAGTGGTGGAGTTGTCTTTTATCTTGACCAAGGAAAATATAATGAATCATCAATTCATCATATTAGATAACTTTTATGGTTTTGTTACTAGACACTTCATTTCAGCTGTTCTATGATACAAATGGGCAGTGAACTAAAAAAGTACAAGAAACTTCATTCTGGCAGTGAAGCTTGTACTGCACAATTAGTATTTGGCAGTATGGTCAGATTATTGTACTAGAAGGTTTCAAGCTAAGTTTCAATTTGGCCCAAGTATTTTAATAGTCTCAACTTGATCTTGATTGCATGACATTGGTTTCAATTCGATCCTAATCCTAATGTTATTTGCAACCAATTTGTTGACAAATACCAGTATAGATAAATACAATTTGGGTATTTTTTCTGAAGTATCAAAGAGGGAGGGAGCTGAAAATGATTTGTTAGCACATACTAATTGTAGAATAAATGATACTTGTTGACGGCTTCTGATGCTGGTTATACGCATTTAAAATTTGTAATTTCTATCCCTGGAATTTGACGTCTGACTCATGTCTTCTCTTCTGCCTTCAGATTTCTGCATCTCTTAATTTGGCCGAGGATCTTAAAAGGCCAAAGGTTATTGCCGAGAGCACCTGGGACTTTGAAATGTGATGCTTCTCTGTATCATGATTCTGTCGTTTTCATCTTCTTGCTGCAATCATACAAACAAACCATATTCATTGACCTAGTGACTATCATCGTCTGGCTTCTTTCCACAGCTAATATTGTCGGTGTATTCAAAACATGGAGCCGAATATTGTGTCGTGGACAAATCCAAAATTTTATTTTCCAATGGTTTTGTTTAGATACTGTGTCCATTGTTCAAGAAACCTTTGCATCAAGTCTTAGAAAAAATGTTTTGGTTAGGTTACTGATGATTTCAGCAGCTTGCCAAGCACCATTTTCATGCCCACTGAATAAAATGAATGTAGTCTATTGGTTATACACACTATTTTTTCCATTCACCTGCAGATGGCATTTATGTTCATGGCATCCAGTAGTCACAGTTGGATTTTTCTTTGACATTTTTTGTCTACTTTGGAAGTGATTTTCTAGTTTTTCTAACATGACCACAGTTTGGTTCAAACTGAACCATGCACTGTTGAAACCGGATCGAAATATATGGAACTTTTATACAAAGTTTGGTTTCGGTTCGGTTGATTTTGGAACTGGGAATTGCCGGTTGATTTAGGTTGGATTAACACTGACCTATTCTTAAATTCAACAAATTCGTATGTCTGATAACCAATTTTGTAGGATCAAAAGAGCTGTATATGCAAACCTCACAATCTACAGAACACAGTATTTCAACTAAGATAAATGAATAATAAAAAAGTAACAATTCTGAAATACAAGACGACTAGCAACGACTTACTTTCCATGTATATTGTTTAAAGAAAATTACAAAATTTGTCTACTTACTTCTGCATCATAAAATAAGCATTTCATGCCTTTGATTGTTTTTTTTTTTTGTTCTAATGGAGAGTGTATCTGATTAGGTGATTGGATTTTCAAAAAATAGAATCATTAACCCAACCGTCCATTTACATCTTCTGTGCATGTTCGTTCAATACTGTTTACCATCCAAGCAAACGCCTAAGGATACGCCTATACCTCTCAAAGCGCGAAGGAGGGCTCTTAATTGGGTACGAAGCATCCAGGTTGATCGCACACAACCCTCCCCGAGTGCCAGTGTTGCGTTGCATGTACATAAAACCATTGATTCCCCATTCAGTTCCCCACGAGTTCTTTATGATCCAATAGTCAATGTCATTCTCAGAAACGTACCCCACGATCAATACGGCATGATGTATTTTTTTTTTAACAGGCCCCGTTGAATATCCCCTGGAAAATAAACCACAGGACATTACCAAAATTTGCTTAACAAAAAAACAAAAAAATTTCAATCCTATAAACACAACTCTGCACAATTAACAGACATAATCCTGGTATCAGAGCAGGAATCCAGTAGCTTTACATATTGCGTCAAATCCACTTTTTCATGAAAAAACGAAACACATTGAAATTGATTGCCAATTTGTTCGAGAGAAAGTTGCATCTGGAGATATTTTATTCTTTTGTAGGCTCAAATAATCAATTAGCTTATATATTTACTAAAGCTTTAATAAGTCCTAAAAGAAATTAAATTTTTGCTCTGATACCATGTTGAATTTGAAAGATGGAATGGCCTGGCGGGAGAAGAATAACACCACCCGCCAGTTAGGCGGAAACAATGATGAAGAATCAAGGAATAGAAAGTGTATATAAGACTGAAATATATTAGTATTATCTGTGTTTTGTAAATAACTACCCATAATTTACACAACCCTATGGATAAATCTAACTCTTTATTTTTCAACACATAATATCCATACCCAATTATATATCTTAATTGGGTACGAAGCGAGCGTGTTGATCGCACACATCCCTTCCGGGGTGCAAGTGTCACGTTGCATGTACATAAAACCATTGATTCTCCATTCAGTTCCAACGAGTTCTTTATGATTCAGTAATTAATGCCATTCTCAGAACCGTACCCCACGATAAATACGGCATGATCTATTTTTTTTGAACTAGCCCCGTTGAATATCCCTGGAAAATAAACCACAGGACATTACCAAAATTTGCTTAACAAAAAAACAAAAAATTTCAAAAGGAAAACAAACAACAAAACTTTGTTACAAGAACCAACCCTGGTATACTCATTAAACGCAGGGCTTGAACCACATACACCAACACTGACAGGCTGAGAGGCAACTGCTTTTAGTAGTTCCTGCTCATTACCTGCGGGTACAACCCTATACCCATCAATGGTCACTGCAGGCGATCTCGGCGATCTCAACTGCAACGTAAGCACACTAAAGATTAGAGATGATGAATATGTTCGAGAAGTAATATGAACAAAAATGGATTAGAAAAAAAAAAAAAAAGAAAAGGAAAGACTTTAAGAAAAGAACGTACGGTGTCCCATATATTATCTCGAGCCTGATAGGGGTAATCATTTTCTGTGCTGATACCCTTATTTTGAAGCACATAATCATATGCATAAGTCAGATTCCCACCTGCAGGCCCTCTATAAATACCTCATTTATTGTCTTAGAAATGGACTTTTTCACCTACCAGAAACACTGTATTTAAGAGGTTCCCGATCACGCCAGAAACACTGTATTTAAGAGGTTCCCGGTCACGTTATTCAATCGGTCAACCTACCATTCTACTGTACAGAACTACGGTGATTTAATCTACGGGGTAATCATCAGCCCACCAGACACTATGCCCACCAGACACTATTATATATTTTGTCATAGTAAATTAACTCTGTTTAGACCGGCTATGTTTTGTCATAGTAAATTAACTCTGTTTAGACAGGCTGATAAGAGATCCCGTCACCAGGCCAACAGAGATTATATAAACATTTATCTATGATAAATGTGAATTACAAGATCATCTTTCAGTGCTTGTTGAAATAAAATTAGCATATCAAACAAATAGTAGTTTGCTAAGAAACGATTATGTATTTATGTGATTAAATTTTGTCAGAATTTATTAATTCCAAACAACAAACACGCGAAATGTATGAAACGATGTCGTTTTGGGTCAGGGTGCACAATGCATTGTGCACCCTAATGCACGATATAATTTGCCATTATATAATGGTTGTAAATTTTTTAAATTACTCAAAATAAATAAATAGTCACATGACTTTGTGATCTAGTAGCATGGAGTGATTCTCTCAAATAAGTCATAGGTTTGAGCCCCATAATAACTTGGCCAAAATAAGCATGATATTCTTTTCTTCATTGTTTTCTGATCAGAGAAACTAAAATACATAATTTGAATGTGTATATACACATAAGAAATAAATCGCACTAAAATTTTTTAATATGACTTGTTTAACCTGAAATGTGTTGACAAGAATCGAAATTGTGACCATTTCGTAATTTAATTTTTTTCCAATAAAATAAGACATATACCTAAATTAATACTCTATAAAAAAAAATACTAAACATTTACAATACATCCTTAATATTCAATTTATAATAACATTAATACTGACAAAAAACAATTTAGGAACAACTCCTACACTTGCGGATCATCCTCCAGCCCCGCAGCAGCTACTCCAGATTAAATCCCACAAAGCCACGTGTAACCTTTTCTCAGCTTATTTTTATAATATCACTGTCCTTACAGCCAAAGATGACGATTAGGAACACTAAAAATAACGAAACCATAAAACCTTCAAATCCACCAAAACATATTCATAAATAAATGGAACAGAAAATAACTTTAATACTAATCTGAAAATACTGATGTCCAATATAAAGCTCTGATCTTTTTCAGCAAATGCAAACAGCTCAACACTCATTTATTGGGGGCAACCCCAGCCAATTTGGTATGGCAATTGACTTGGTAACTACAAGATTACAACTCTCAACACGAGTGGCCTATTGACCTATTGGCCTTTTAGTTTGAGTCGGCACAAGTTTTTTAGTAATCAAAAGAGAGAAAAAAAAAAAAAAAGATATTAGCTTTATAGATTCATGTGAAAATACCAACAGGAACAAGTTGGGAGTTTTTTTAGTAATCAAAAGAGAAAAAAAAGATATTAGCTTTATAGATTCATGTGAAAATACCAACAAACCACAAAACTGCCTTGATCGTTCACCTTGGTGAAAGCACCTTTAGCCCTCCAATCCGAAGAAGCAGGAACATCAAAACCTCTGACAACATCTTTCCCAGGAGCCGAGGATAGCATCAACCCATCTTTCCCAGGAGCCGAGGATGGCATCAACCCATCTTTCCCAGGAGCCAAGAACCCCCTGAACCCCCTGTGGCAGGCCATCTCATCGTCGGTGAGATCCGAAAACTGATTGAGTGCAACGGTATAGGTGGAATTCCCCGCTCTGTTGTGCTTCAAGACAAAATCATAGTTTTTCTTGAACGCCTCCAGCCTGTGCTGCCTTTCATGATCCGAGGAGTACGTTTTCCCATAATACCGGCACCAATTGTCGAACATGTCCTTGGGTGACGAGGGTGCCTGAAAGAGTAACCCAATCAACAGTTCATTATTATGCAAAATAAAATATAATAATGAAGCTGGAAAGGGAGTTTGACTCACCCTTACAGAAATCTCAGAAATGGCCTATCAAAGCACAATCTCTAAGGCAGATAATACATTATAAACACAAGAATTTCTCTAAACACAAGAAGTAGGCATAAAAATCTCCAACATAGAATCCAAATTACATAAAAAATTACAGAGTATACAGTAGAAGATCAATGAGTTAATGCAGCCAAAACATTCTCCATAAGTCAAATTCTACGTTTCAACTACAACAAAACGTGCTGATCAATTGCAGTTCAACGAAACGAAATCAGGAACATAAACAACATGCATATATGTGCATATGATTCTAATCTAACTAGCAAGGTGTACTAAATAGTACGAGTAATTCCCAAAATTGTTTCAACAAAACCGCCGCAGAAAAGCAGATTCAAAACCCTAGATCGACGAAACAAGAGACAGTAAATCAGATTCTCCATACTGATCAATCGAAAGAGAATATCAAAACCCTAGATCGACCAAACTATCAATCGAAAGAGAATATACCAACAGTTCTTCGTTCTCAAGGCCCTCATCGAACTGCACTTGTCCCTCCTCTGAAGAAGTCGCGGCGCCCATTTCCGTCTCTCCGAATTCTCTAGAAGCCAAACTCGTTTTTTCGTATTGTGGGAAGAGCATTGATATTTGGAGCCGTTTATATAGCGGGTGCGGTGAGGTGTGAAACTTGACCCCCACGAAAACTAGTTTCACTCTTCATTTGAAGGAAGTAGTAACGTAGCATGTGAATGATCTGAGAAATTCAATTTTTACGTGTTCACCACAGGTCCAAACGGTGTTATTTTTATAGATTTTTTTTAATAGCTAATGTGGTGTTAATAATGTGCGTTTGGTCAGATTATAAATTTTTTGTTATGAGATTATGAATGTACTGTAAATTCATAATCTCATAACAGAAAATTCATAATCTCATAAAGGAAAATTCATAATTTCATAACTGCACATTCATAAATTCATACAATTATGAATGTGCAGTTATGAAATTATGAATTTTCTTTTTATGTGATTATGTTGAAGAAGCTTGCGCGAAAAGGAAGTGAAACTGCAAAATCAAAATGTGAAAAATGAAGAAGAAAAGTCGCGCGATTAATTAAGAAAAAAAAAAAAAAAGATAATGGTATACTGTTACTGTTGGGACCATGTTCATCATAGATGATGAACACGGTTCCATGACATATCCATTGTTGATATTTGGGGCGGCTTATATAGCGGGTGCGGTGAGTTGTGAAATTACCAAAATTATGGACTTGACCCCCACAAAAACACGGTTTCACTCTTCATTTGGTTAATGGCTCCAGAAGTCTAGAGTCCAAATGTGAGGCGATACGTCATTTTGGTGTTCCAGATTCTTCCACCGTTTGAGTTCTGTATACCCATATCCATATCTATATATCTATATCAATCAATCTATATATATAACTAGTAAAGTACCCGTGCGATGCACGGGATGGATATTGTTAAAGATGTTGTCTAATTATTTTAAAAATATATTTCATTAATTAGATCAAATAGTAAAAATAATGAAATTAGTTTAGCATACAATATACAAAAATCATTGTCACAAAATTACAAATTATTGAAGATTTCGTGGTATACCACGTTGGTTATTGATGTAGCACTTGATCTTGAGTCGTTGGCATTCAATATTTTAAGACCATTTGGGTTGTTAACTCGAGATGCAGCCACGTACAATTGACCATGCACAAAAACTGGTTTTTTAAGTAACAAACCTACATGTGACAATGTTTGACCTTGACTTTTGTTAATTAGCCATTGCATATAGGGATGGCAATTTCAATTCGACCCGTGGATATCCACCCGAATTCACCCCGCATGGATCGGGTTTTTTTGGATGATGGTGGGTGGTGGGTCGGGGGTGGGTCTTAAAAAAGAAAACCCGCGGTGGGTCGAGTTGGATTCGGGTTCTATGTACAAGACCCGCCTAGAACCCCACCCGACCCACCATGTGTGTGTGTATATATATATATAATAGTAAAATAAATACTAGTATGTAGTTATTTATAATAGTTTATATAACTCCGTGTATCTTTTTACTATTTTTTATATCAAAACTACTAAGTTTATTTTTAAAAAGTAACAATTTAGTTATTATATTTAAATATTTCCATTATTTATGTTTTAGTATCACTAATGGATTTTATTTTTTTATTATGTGTACATAATTTAAATATTATTTTTTGAAAAACATAATAAGATGATAAGTGGTGGGTACCCGTAGTGGGCACCCGCACCCGGTGGGGGTGGGGGTGGGTTCTGAAAAAGTCCACCCGATGCGGGTTGGAGGTGGGGGTGGGTGGAGAAAATATAAGGTGGGTTGGGTGATGGATGTAGCCCTCCCCGACCCACACCCGACCCATTGCCATCCCTAATTGCATATGATAACATCAACGGGAATTGTCTTCGTTGAAACTTGAATGGCAACCTCATATCAGACGGTGACATTAACAATCTAGGTATCAAGACTTTTGCTCATTTGTTAGCACCATCCATTAACTCAGCTTCAATTACACGGTCTGCTAACTTGGTGATTACTAACCGCGTGCCATTACACAAACCAACATAGTGATGAATATTTCTTAATAACATGACTGGTGATCCAATTTTTAGAGTTAATGCATGGTTTGGAAGACCTGAAGCTCTAATGCCATTCAAAAATTCTGGTGTGTGGACATCACCAAGTATCCCAGTGTCTGCATTGGCTTTGCATACTATGTCGCAACTAAAATATGTTCTACTTTCAGCCGTATGCAAATCACTCATATAGTCATTCACTGAATTCACTACCTCTAGTGTAGGTGCTAGAATAACATGCCCTTGAAGATAACTTGCATTAGAATTGACATTAGCAAACATAGGAAATGTACTTCTAACAATGGTTTCAATATGGTCACCATCGGACGGTAGTAACATAGTACTGAGTATTTCTACTTCTGAATAACCATTGTTAGGTCCACCAATTTTGCCATCACCAATTGCAGCTATCCAATTTGCAAAGTGTTGTGAAGATTGTTGTTCTACAGAGTCGTGTACAACATTCAAGCGAAGGTTCTTTGTGAGCTTCATTACCTTGCAACTGTTCCACAAATAGGAAGAATTGATAGCTGCAGAAACTATATCTTGTCTAGTACCTTTGGGGACTACGGGTAGAATTTGATGGAAGTCCCCACCTAGTACTACTGTTTTACCACCAAAAGTCTTGTTAGAACTGTTAGGATCTACAAACCGCAACAAATCCCTCATGGTCCGATTTAGAGCTTCAAAGCAATACTTGTGCATCATCGGGGGCTTTTGGTGCACATCGAGCTTTGGTTAGTTGTGATATACTTAGCTTTACTTGAAATATTGTTGCCAATTTTAGGTCTATTCTTCTCTGCTCTCAGTAGTAGGCATGTTTTTTACCTTTAGCCAAAGAATCTATTCATTCCTCTAATGTCATTCACAATCCTTTGCTACAATTCATGGTGTGTATTGCAATGTGATGAGTGGATCTTATTTACAAATCATGACTCGCGCAATATAAGTTGTGATGTTAACCTTCAAAAAAAAAAATATTCTTCTGATGTTAACCTTCAAAAAAAAAAAAAAGATTCATCTGATGTTAACCTTAAAAAAAAAAAAAAAAGATTCATTTGATGTTGATGAATCGAGCTCCACGTCATGAATTACAACCCAGCCAGCACTCGCCAGCAACAGTAACGAACTAACGATCTTGATGGGCAATCAGCTTACATCTCTATCTCTCCAAGCAAACAATCATATCAGCACCGTTCAAAATGATTCAGAAGCTAGCAGGGGAATCCAGATCGACACACATAAGGCCATAAGGGACTGTGCTACAAACGAAATACCAAAGTGGAAGCAAAGTCGAGGGGAAAATGATAGTGTAACATTCTTTGAACATTGTCAAGTGTCATACAATTGCATTGCCAATGCAACTCTTGAAACCATAATCAATTGTAGGCAAAAACATTATCACGGCTAGATTGCAAAAAGCTGTAATAATACCTTGTCGGGGTGTGAATCTTCTCTGGCTCCTCCTTGTACGTACATTTCCGGCGTCGGTTGAGGTTCCTCCGAATCGCATGACCCTTCTAAACAACTCCATAAAACCGCACCAGAAGCCATTTTTGGTTCCTCCGAATGTTGTCTCTCTCGTGACACCAATTGCCTCCGCCAATCCGAGCCCGAACGGGTGGAACCCATAGTCGCATACGAGGGAGCCGTCGAGATATTCCGGCGCCTTGGTTGAAGAACGAAGCGTATATGTCACGTATACAAGGAAGGGAGAAATACGGAGGAATTAATGAATTATACACTAAGCTTGAAATGACTACTTTACCCCTTAATTTAACATCCATTTAAGCTTCATCTGACAGAAAGACCAACATTGGAAAAAATTCGAAAGTCAAATGTCTAAATTATCCAAATTAAAAGTCGAAGACCAATTGTGAAAAATCACAATAGTCGGAGGATCAATGCTGGAATTAACTCTTGAATTTATCTTCTTTTATGTGCTTGTGGCGAGTGACCAGGAATCTTAAAGTGGGGAGGACCACAGGAAATCCGCTCTAGTCATTACACCAAGAAAGTCTCCCGCTGACCCATTTTCTCCGTCAAAGCTTCACCTGAACAAATCTGAAAGTTCAGTAATTTTCTTGCCCTAAATCCACACAAGATTACTCCTTCCACTCGGGTCAATCACACTACATAATCAACCAACAACAGTCAAGATCAATGTGGAGAGAGCTCTGACTCCGAGTAGACCTTTTCCGAAAAGCTTTCTTTTTCTATCAATGGCTGCCGCCTCTCATAAAGGCAAGTTTTTCCTCTTCTCTTTGCTTATAGCCTCTGATTTTCTGCATATTTGTTGGGTCGATGCGGACTCGAACTCAGAGCCATCCTCTCTGATTGAGAAAGAGGATAAAAATGAAGGGACGTATGAATCAATAACTGATGCCTTAGATGTGTTAAACAGACACCAAGTACAGTTAGAGAAGCTCGAGGGGTTAGTGAAAGATCTTAGTGAATTAGTGGCTAGGTTAGGATCAAGATTATCGGAGTACCCAGAAGAAGTTAAAACTTCAGATTCTGCAAAACCCAGTATTGGAAGGTTGTCAAAATATGATCTTGAAGAGAAGTATGCTGGGAAGGGGAGGGATAGTGATTCGTTTTTGGAGAAAACTGGGGAGAAGGATGGGATCAGTGCTGGGGATAAAGTTGGGGCAGTTTCAGTGACAAAGTACAGTCCTTTTTGGTCTGAGAAGTTTCAATTTGTATCTGCAGTGAGATTGGATTCAGATGCTACTTGCCTTAATGTGTTGCCATTCCGAGATTTCGATGGAATGAGCAAGTATGTCGTGGTTGGGGATGCTCGGGGGCAGTTGTATGTGTTCTCGAGAAATGGGGAAGTGCTGATTGAGTTCAACACATTGTTAGATGCTCCCATTACAGCTCTCGCGTCGTTCTTGACACTTTACAAGAACGAGAGTGTATTAGTCACGGGGCATGAGAATGGTGTGATTTTGAAGCATAGAGTTTGGGAGGGGGTGCAGAATGGGGAGGAGTGGCCTTTGCTTCATATGGAGTTTGTTGGGAAGTTTTCTTCTCCCGAAATTGGGGAAGGTGGATCTTCGATTATCAGTTTGGAAGTGCACCATATGGGGAGAAATAGGTATGTCTTGTCAACGGATTTTAACGGGAATCTTAGGGTGTTCAGGGAGAATGGATCGGTTTATGGATTGGCAGTGCCAAAAAGCAGGCCGCTTGCGTTCTTGAAACAAAGGCTCTTGTTTCTAACAGAGACTGGCGCGGGATCATTGGACTTGAGGACGATGAGGATTAGGGAATCTGAATGTGAAGGCTTGAACAATTCGGTTGCTAAAAGCTATGTGTTTGATGCCATCGAATGGTCAAAAGCATACGGCTTTACATCCGATGGTGACATGATTCACGTGCTACTTTTAGGCGATATAATGAACTTCAAGTGCAGGGTTAGATCGAAGAAGAAGCTGGAAACGGGCATGACCGAGCCCCTAACGTTTCAGGCGATTAAAGGGTATTTACTCATAGCTAACCTCGAGAAAGTTTGGGTGTATAATGTGTCATCTCAGCATTACGTTAGGGCTGGAGGACCCAAACTCGTGTCCTCTGCACGCCTCGATGAGGTCATGAACTCGTTCCTCAATTACCAATCGGTGGACTTAAATCCCAACTCGGGAATGCTAACCCCGCTGCTAGCTAGTGACCGGGAAAAGCTCGTTATACTCGGGACAGGAAACGGTTACATAGGGATGTATCGCTCGAACCTTCCGGTTTTCAAGAATGAATTCAACACCATGCTGTGGACAAGCCCCGTGTTGCTCTTCATCCTTTTCCTATTCGGGGCATGGCATTTCTTCGCCAATAAAAAGGAAGCCCTCACGTCTTGGGGCCCCGACGATCCCTTTAGTTCTACCTCGGGTACAGATGGAGCTGCACTGGGATCTGGCAAGGGCAGCGACATATCTTTCGCAGATTCGTCAAGGAATTCAGACATAATGGACCTAAGGAACAGCGGTTTAAGAGGCTCATCGGGACGGTTTGTATCTCAACCACAATATCCGGGCGGATCTACCACCCCGTATAGGCCAAGTGCCGCCACGGATGCTGCAAGTTCTAGGCCATCTTCAGTTGATAATCCAAACTTCAGAGCAGCAGCAGAACTGAAATATAGGGGCCCAAATCTTGACACTGGGGGTTTTCCTAAAAGAAGGGAGAGCCTGTTTGGCAACAGCCAAGTTGTGGATGATAACAGTTGATTTACATTTACCACATCATGCCTGTATGGCTGTATCTATTGTTACCACATAGAGTTTAAAAAATCTTTGAATATTTACTTTTTACTGTCAACCAGAGTGGTCAGTGTTTCAGTTTTATCTGTTGTTGTAACTTTGCAGTTTGAGAAGAAATAATGATGGCATTTTGGGAATGTTTGTCTGACTCTCTTGAACTGCATAATTAGTACTCCATATAACTTTCCTATTTTGTCAGTCTAATGGTACACATCTTTATTGTGATTATCCCACTGCCATTATTCATCTTCAGCAAAATGGGTCTACTTACCGGAAGAATAAAATGGGGAATTGGGGAAATTATATATATATATATATATATATATATATATATATATATATATATATATATATATATATATATATATATGTGTGTGTGTGTGTGTGTGTGTGTGTGTGTGTGGGGAGCTGCCTTTGAATGGATTCAATTGAAATTTAGCTGAATTAGTCTCATTATGTAATTCTAAAACAAGTTGCATTTAGGTGTTGTGTACCACTCCTAGTTTCGAACCCCACTCGCTCCAACTTCATCAACACATTAGTTAGACTTAGACACGTTCACACGTTTTCTAATTTGAAAGAAAAAAAAAAGTAATGCCTTAAACTATCATTATCTCTAAAACACTCGCTCTCTTTAAGTAAATCTTTTACATCATTAAAATTTACAATTTATTCACTATTTTCTTTACATATATGTAATTCCAAATTACTTTAAAAAATAGATCCTATTTTTATAGCTAAGAGCATCCATATTAGTATGAAATTTTACACGATTTTTCAGGTGCCACTAAGAGAGAGAGAGAGAAGAAGGAAAAAAAAAAACCCAGACGTGCCTAGCTGGGCGTTTGCGTCTCCAGCACGCGAGGCTAGACTGCTTGCTTTGCTTTCCTTACCTTTCTCAATCATTGGGTCCCACAACAATTTTACTCTTGCAAGAATAAAAAGCTCCAAAAAATCTCACTCCCCATCAACAAAAAATCAACACCTTATTTTTTTGGGTACTGTTCTAAGTGCATCCATAGTGGTGCATATTATTTGGTTTTTTCTGATGAAAAAATTGAAGATGGGTTTTTAACTAGTGTGAGAGGTTGTGTGTGTGTGTGTGTGTGTGTGTGTGTGTGTGTGCAAGGGATGCATCTTTGTGGGGCCCATTGGTAAAAATTAATGAAGGCAGGTGCGCGTTTCGTGCGCCTAGCTGGCGCTTAAACGGTAAAACTTGTTCAACTTTTTTATTTATTTATTTAAATGTCAGAATTTGTTTTGTTTTTCTCCTTCCTAATCACACTTACAATTACTCCTCAAAAATCACAATGGAAATAAACTACTAAGAGGATCCACAATGGTGATGTTTTTTTGTGATTTTTGAGAAGTTTTTGTAAGTGTGATTAGGAAAGAGAATATGGGAGGAAACAAAAAAAAAAATATAAAAATAAACAAGAATACTCACCCTGCGCTGTCCGACCACTCCGACGACTGTCCTTAGAAGCTATATGATCATGCCACCTGGAAACCTAAGATCAAATCTTGCAGATTAAGCACCTCAACTCAGTTTCGATCTCATCACTCACTAACCACGGTTAATTAAAAAGCTTTAACTACAGTCAAAACTTGTATATAATTACCTGGTCCACTGTTTCTCTGTCACCCAGTGATTCAAGAATATTTTTTCCCTTGATTTTCTCCACAAAAAAAAAAAAAAAACCAACATTTACCTTGAAAAAGACCTTTTTCTTTCAGAAACAAACTATGTACTATATATATACTACTATGTAGCGCGCGCGCGCACACACACACACACATATATATATATATATATAGGAGTAGAAATTTGTTTATTAGGACGAAAATTAAATAGCTTCACAACATGATAAAAATAATTTATGATAAACTATAAAATAGTTAGAATAAATTGTATATCTTTTCTAATATTTATAAATCTTTTAATTGTAATTTTTTTAAAGGATCTTTTAATTTTGATTACATCAACTTAAAATATACAATGACACAAAACTTCTAGATTATATATATATATATATATATATATATATATATATATATATATATATATATATATATATATATATATTTCACAAAAATTAAATTCTCTTTTAAAATAATTGTTATAATTTGATTACAAAATATATTTCATATAAATTCTAATTAATCAATTTAGATTTAATTCGTAAAACCAAAACCTAACTGTAAGAGAAATATTACTCAGACTAATCTTGGTTCACACCAGGCCAGTCCAATCAAGGAAAGAGAGTGCACGGCCATTCACGCAAACCAAACTAGTTATTCCTAATAAATCTTTCATAATAAAAACTTGTAATTACCGACTGCCTCGGTTGCCCCTCTCAAGTCTGAATCTGCCCCTATATATGTGTGTGTTCTTGTAATTTGGAGGAGTTTTTGTAAGTGTGATTATGAAAGAGAATATGGGAGGAAACAGAAAAAAAGAGAAAAAAAATAAATAAACAAGACTGCTTTTAAAAAAAATAAAAATAAATAAAGAAGCATGTCAGGCGTGCGGGGCACGTGCGACGACCGACTCGGCTTTGCTATGCGCACAACAACTGCTTCTCTCTTCATTTATTTCTCTTTCCTTACGAAGAGAAATAACCCCTTCTTGCAGGAGGTGCGAATGTCAATGAAATATATATATAAAAATTAAAATTTTCTTATTCCATAAGGCTTCAGTCGTTCACGCAGCACGCACAGCTCCTTTTCGTGCTTCTCTCTCTACTGGTCTACGTCGTTGCCTCGCTGGAGTGTGGAGTACAGGAGTCGCCGCTTCTTCCCGTCAAACTCGTTGCCGAGGCGTCGTCCCTGGTTACCGGCAACACCGCCTCAGCCCTCGGCCCCTCGCAGTTCTGGTCTCAGGTCTCCTCTCCGGCCTCTCATTCTCAGGTTTGAATATTGCCCTAATTTCTCTAATTTCCCTAAATCCTCTAATTTTAGTTTAATCAATTTAATGTATGTGCTTTGTTAGTTTGTTAATACTGGAATTAGTTGAATACATGAATTTGTTTAGGGAAATTACTCAAATTAGGGCAAAAGGATTTCTGCTTTGTTCAATTGTTCTCTACTGTTCTACATGAATTTGTTTAGCAATTTAGGAAATATTGCCAGTTTGCCATACTTCCATGTCTCTCAAATTTTATATAATTGTTGGATTTGTTGGCTGCAATTTGGAACTTTGGAAGTTGGATGGTTACTTAGTTATATAAAGATTTCTGCTTTGTTCAATTTTATATAATTGTTGTTTATAATCTACCTACAACCTACTAAGATTTCTGCTTAGTTATAATTGTTCAATTTTCTGCTTTTGGCCGATTGCCTTACTGAGTTACTGCCTACAGCCTAAATTTTATTGACGTACTGTTAGCTATAATCTTTCTAATGTTATATTTGGACCTTGTATTTGAACATTTTTGTACTCATTTTACATTTGCTTCTTCGCCCCCCTCACTAGAAATCCTGGCTCCGTCCCTGGTGGTGCATATTATTTGGTTTTTTTCAGATGAAAAAATTGAAGATTGGTTTTTAACTAGTGTGAGAGTTTTTTTTTTTTTTTTTTTTTTTTTTTTGGGCACCTGATGTGCGCCTAGTTGGCGCTTAAACTATAATGCTTGTTCAACTTTTTTTTTTTTTATTTAAATGTCAGAATTTGTTTTATTTATTTTTTTTTTCTCTCACATTTTTTCCTCTTTCCTAATCACACTTACCAAAACTCCTTAAAACCGCAATGGAAATAAACTACTAAGAGCATCCACAATGGTGGAGTTTTTTTTTTTTTTTTTTTTTTTTGGTTTTTGAGGAGTTTTTATTAGGAAAGAGAATAAGTGAGGAAAAAAAAAAAGAGGGAAAAGAATAAACAAGACTTCTTTTTTTTAAAAAAATAAAGAAGCATGTCAGGCGTACTTGTCAGCGCGCCAGACGCGCCACCCAGGCACGTGCAGTGCACGCGACCGACGTGGCTTTGCTGTGCACGAAATGCGCACAAAAACTGCTTCTTTCTTTATTTATTTCTCTTTCCATAGGAAGAGAAATAACCCCTCCTTGCAGAAGGAGCTGACCCACTCTCTCTCTTATTTCTCACTCCGCCATGTGGCCTACTCAACCTTAAAAACCGTGAAAAAAACTCAAATGATCTACTGATATTGATGCTCTAAAAACTCACTAAGATCCATTGGTGTGGTTGCTCTATGTACAAAAGCTGCCAAAATGTCAAGTTTCGTATTTGTTTCAAGCTGGCATTTTTTACATGTCATCTTGCAAGATTATTTCTTCCAGAGATAAGAACATCATCGATTGAAGATTTTATTTGGTTTTTGTCATATCATATAGGAAAGAGAGGGAGAAGGAGAACGAAAAACAATGAAAGAAATGAAAAGAAGAACGTAATTGACAGGCAAAAAGGGAAAGAAAGAATTAAAACATAAGGCATTTACGCGCTAGCTAGGCGCAGTAGATGCGCAAAACTGCAAACTTGCTTTTCTCCTTTCCTTTCAAAGTTTAGGCCCCACAACAAACCTAAATTTGCAAGAATAAAAACCTCTCAAAAACCACCCCTCCCATCAACTAAAAAATCATATATTGATTTTTTCTTTCTCACAAACCGAGCAAAATCCACTGATGTGGTTGCTCTAAAGACAACTTTAGACATGTTTTTCAATTTGAAAAATTGTGCATGTGGTATAGTTCAACATATCGAACCCCATTGTCACTACCTCCATATACGCTGTACGCACTAGTTAAACATGTATCTCAATTTGAAAGGAAAAAACATTAATACCAATTGTATAACTCCACATACATATTAAACCTCATCAGATCACTAGCTCAAACTTCATCAACACACTAAACATAAAAATTGATTGACATTTTTTTTGTGGATCCATCTACATTTACTCCAACTTTCCTCCATTGGCTCCTCACTCACTAAAGATAGAAAAACAAGCATGCCAAAAGCTGCGAAAGATTAGTGATTTTGAACTAAAAGTATAAACTAACACATTTTCCTCCGTAAAGCATCAGTACAGTGTTCCACTAAACAACAAAAGATTACTCACCCTGCGTTGTTCGACCACCTCCGACGACTGTCCTCAGAAGCTACATGATCATGCCACCTGGAAACATAAGATCAAATCTTGCAGATAGATTAAGCACCTCAACTCAGTTTCGATCTCACTCACTAACCACGTTGAATTAAAGCTTTAACTACGATTAAAACTTGTATATAACCTGGTCCACTGTTTCTCTGTGACCCAGTTATTCAAGAACATTTTTTCTCCCTTGATTTTCTCAACAAAAAAAAAAAAAAAAATCAGCATTTACCTTGAAAAAGACATTTTTTCTTTCAGAGTACTATATATACTACTATGTAGCATATATATATATATATATATATATATATATATATATATATATATATATATAGCGGAGTATAAATTTGTTTATTAGGATAAAAATTAAATAGCTTCACAACATGATAAACATAATTTATGATAAACTATAAAATAGTTAGAATAATTTGTATATCTTTTCTATTATTTATAAATTTTTTAATTTTAATTTTTTTTGAAAGGATCTTTTAATTTTGATTAGATCAACTTAAAATATACAATGACACAAAACCTCTAGATTATATATACTATATTGATTACACAAAACTTCTAGAGATTATATATATACTATATATAGTTCATAAAAAATAAATTCTCTTTTAAAATAATTGCCATAATTTGATTACAAAATATATTTCATATAAGTTATAATTAATCAATTTAGATTTAATTCGTAAAACCAAAACCTAACTGTAAGAGACACCTTTAAGCTCGTACCATACTCAGACTAATCCTGGTTCACACCAGGCCAGTCCAATCAAGGAAAGAGAGCGCATAGCCATTCACGCCAACCAAACTGGTTATTCCTAATAAATCTTTCATAATAAAAACTTGTAATTACCGACTGCCTCGGTTGCCCATCTGAAGTCTGAATCCGCCCCTATATATGTGTGTGTTCTTGTAATTTGGAGGAGTTTTTGTAAGTGTGATTACGAAAGAGAATATGGGAGGAAACTGAAAAAAAGAGAAAAAATAAAAAATAAACAAGACTGCTTTAAAAATAAATAAAAATAAATAAAGAAGCATATCAGGCTTGCGGGGTGCGTGCGATGCACACGGCCGACGCGGCTTTGCTGTGCGCGAAACACGCGCACAACAACTGCTTCTCTCTTCATTTCTTTCTCTTTCCTTAGGAAGAGAAATAACCCCTCCTTGCAGGAGGTGCTGGCCCAATCTTTCTCTTATTTCTCACTCCGTCATGTGGCCTACTCAACCTAAAAAACCGTGAAAAAATCTCAAATGATCTACTGATATTGATGCTCTAAAAACTCACTAAGATCCATTGATGTGGTTGCTCTAAGTACAAAAGCTTGCAAAATGTCAAGTTTTGTATTTGTTGCAAGCTTGCATTTTTTACATGTCATCTTGCAAGATTATTTCTTCCAGACTAGAGATAAGAGCATCATCAATTGAAGATTTTATTTGTTTTTTGTCATATCATATAGGAAAGAGAGGGTCCGGAGAAGGAGAAAGAAAAACAATGAAAAGAAAAGAAAAGAAAAACGTAATTGACAGTAAAAAAGGGAAACAAAGAATTAAAACATACAGCATTTACGCGCCAGCTAGGCGCAGTAGGTGTGCGAAACGCGCACCTGCCAACTTGCTTTTCTCCTTTCCTTTCAAAGTTTAGGGCCCACAACAAACCTAAATTTGTAGGAATAAAAACCTCTCAAAAAGCACCCGTCCCATCAACTAAAAAATCATATACTGATTTTTTCTTTTATGAAAAACCGTGTAAAAATCACTTATGTGGTTGCTCTAAATACAACTTTGGATATGCTTCTAAAAAAAATGTGCACGTGGGTATAGTTCCACATATCGAACCCCATTGGCACAACCTCCATCTACCCACTAGTAAAACATGTATCTCAATTTGAAAGAAAAAAAAAAAGACGCTAATACTGAGTAATAGAGTCAGTAGCATTCAAAAAATAAAAAAATCCACATACGTATGAAAGCTCACTAGCTCCAACTTCATCAACACACTAAACATAAAAATTGATTGACATTTTAATTTGTTGGTTGGATCCATCTACATTTACTACAACTTTCCCCCATTAGCTCCTCAACTCACTAAAGATAGAAAAACAACCATACCAAAAGCTGCGCAAGATTAGTGATTTTGAACTAAAAAGTATTAACTAGCCCATTTTGATACGTAAAGTATCAGTACAGTGTTCCACTAAACAACAAAAGATTACTCACTTTGTGCTGTCCGACCACCTCCGACGACTATCCTCAGAAGCTACATGATCATGCCACCTAGAAACCTAAGATCAAACCTTGCAGATTAAACACATCAACTCAGTTTTAGTCTCACTAACCACAGTTAATTAAATATTTAACTACGGTTAAGACTTATATATAACCTGGTCCACTATTTCTTTGTGACCCAGTGATTCAAGAACTTTTTTTTCCCTTGATTTTCTAAAAAAAAAAAACCAGCATTTACCTTGGAAAAGACCTTGTAGAAATTTGTTTATTAGGTCGAAAATTAAATAGCTTCACAACATGATAAAAATAATTCATGATAAACTATAAAATCGTTAGAATGAATTATATTATATATACCAAGACTATGTGGTCTAATGGTACCCGGGTTGGACTTCCATTTGGAAGATTATGAGTTCAAGCCTTAGTGGAGGCGTTATTGGTTCTTTGTGTTTCAGTAGGTTTATAAATCTTTTAATTTTTTTTTTGAAAGGATCCTTTAATTTTAATTAGATCAACTTAAAATATATATTGACACAAAACTTCTATATTATATTTACTATATAGTTCATAAAAATTAAATTCTCTTTTAAAATTATTCTCATAATTTGATTACAAAATATATTTCACATAAATTTTATAATTAAATCGTAATAAACCTTTTTTGGGAAAGGGGATTCGAACTCAATATATTTAATAGGGGATTCGAACTCAATATATTTAACAGAAGGAGATGGAAAGCTCATCAGCAATGGCGGCAAAAAAGAGAAAGCCAAGATCCCCTGCAACTCCTGGTGATTTAAGGACATTTCCCTTTCCTTTTTTTTTTTTTTTTTTTTTTTTTGGGTTTTTCTTGGATTTTCTGTTAATTAGATTTGTGGAATGGGGGCGTGTTTTGCAGGTGAAGATACAGAAGTGATAGCTCTGTCGCCGGCGTCTATGACGGCGGCGAGCAGATTCTTCTGCGACGTCTGCGGAAAAGGGTTTCAAAGAGAGCAGAACTTGCAGCTCCACCGCCGGAGCCACAACTTGCCGTGGGGGCTCAAGCAACGAACCAGCGGCGGCACTGCGGCGGCGTCAAGGCGGCGCGTGTACGTTTGCCCAGTCCCGAGCTGCCCCCACCATGACCCGTCCAAAGCCCTCGGCGATCTCTCCGGAATCAAGAAACATTTCTGCCGGAAACACGGCGAGAAGAAGTTCGGCTGCCACCGCTGCGGCAAGAAATACGCCGTCCAGTCCGACATCAAAGCCCACGCCAAGATTTGCGGCACCAAAACGTATCATTGCGACTGCGGCGTCATGTTTAACCCCCCCCCCCCCCCCCCCCCCCCCGCTAATCCCCTAAAATCCCCAAAATTCTGACAAAATCTCTTAAATAACCTAACAACCCCAACCCTCTCTCTCCTCCAACACATCAACTTTTTCTTAAAATATGTGTAAAATCCCCCTAATGGGGATGCCCTAAGTGTGATTAGGAAAGAGAATATGGGAGGAAAAAAAAAAGAGAAAAATAAACAAGACTGCTTTTAAAAACAAAAAAAATAAAGAAGCATGTTAGGCATACTTGTCAGCACGCTTGACGCGCCACCCGCGCACGTGCAGTGCACGCGGCCGACGTGGCTTTGTTGTGCGCGAAATGCGCACAACAACTACTTCTTTCTTCATTTATTTCTCTTTCCTTTCAGACGAGAAATAACCCCTCCTTGCAAGAGGAGCCGACCCATTCTCTCTCTTATTTCTCACTCCGCCATGTGGCCTACTCAACCTAAAAGACCGTGAAAAAACCTCAAATGGTCTACTGGTATTGATGCTCTAAGGATGCTCTAAAAACTCACTAAGATCCCTTGGTGTGATTGCTCTAAGTACACAAGCTACCAAAATGTCAACTTTTGTATTTGTTGCAAGCTCAGATTTTTTACATGTCATCTTGCAAGATTATTTCTTCCAAATATAAGATGAGCATCATCAATTGAAGATTTTATTTGGTTTTTGTCATACCATATAGGAAAGAGAGGGAGAAGGAGAAAGAAAAACAATGAAAAAAATGAAAAGAAAAACGTAATTGACAATCAAAAAGGGAAAGAAAGAATTCAAACATATGGCATTTACGCGCCAACTAGGCGCAGTAGGTGCGCGAAACGCGCACCTGCCAACTCGCTTTTCTCCTTTCCTTTCAAAGTTTAGGGCCCACAAAAAACCTAAATTTGCAGGAATAAAAACCTCTCAAAAACCACCCCTCAGCTCCCATCAACTAAAAAAAATCATATATTGATTTTTTCTTTCTCAAAAATCAAGTACAACCCACTGATGTGGTTGCTCTAAAGACAAATTTAGACATATTTCTCAATTTGAAAAATTGTGCATGTGGTATAGTTACGTTCCACATATCGAACCCCATTGTCACTACCTCCATCTACGCACTAGTTAAACACGTATCTCAATTTAAAAGGAAAAAACATTAATACTGAGTATAACTCCACCACAACAAGAAATCTTTCATTTCCCGACGAAAATTTTAATGACGCTCTAGAAAACATCGCTAAATATAACAATTTGCGACGATATATTAAATAACGTCACTATATATTTTGGTAGAGACAATAATTTTTTTTTGTAATATTTGCTGACGAAATATAATTTTTTTTTTGTAATATTTGCTGACGAAATATAATTTTTTTGTTATTAAAGATATAGAATCAATGACGTTTTATAATAAACGTCCCTAAATGTTTTATTTAAAAAATCAATTTTAACATAAAACGTCAGGAGAAGTGAAAATATTTTTGCGGGAAAACTATTTATCCTTTGGTGCAATCTTATACATAAAATTTTACAGCCATAAATCTTTCTCATTTACTCCAGTGAACCCTCTTTGTCTCCCAGTCAACTAGTATTACTCTCTTTGTCTCTCAATCTCTCCGTCTCTCGCAAACCCTAAAATCCTAATCTCAAATTCGCAAATTCGCAAATCGTAAATCGCAACCCTCTCTGGCTTCTCTCCCTCGCTCTGTCTCTTAATCTCTCAAAAGACTGTCATAGCCCGCCAGCCCTCTCGCCTGTCCCCGCTCAAGCGCTCGCTGCCTCGCCGGTCGCCGCTCAGCCAGTCAGCCTCACGGCCCTCATCCATTGCAGACTCTTGGTTCTTCACTTCTTTGAAGTTCCAACTATCAAGGTAAGTTACTAACTTGCATACTAATTTTATAATTTTCATTTGATTATTTGTTCACTTTGATTGTTTAATTTATAGAAAGAAAATCATACAGATATTTATTTTTAAAAATTTGCAGTGTTTCTGCAGTGGCTTAATTGTTGATCACTAGCTCCAACTTAATTACCACACTAAACATAAAAATTGATTGACATTTTAATTTTTTGGTGGATCCATCTACATTTACTCCAACTTTCCTCAATTGGCTCCTCAACTCACTAAGGATAGAAAAACAACCATACCAAAAGCTGCGCAAGATTAGTGATTTTGAACTAAAAAGTATAAACTAACCCATTTTGATCCGTAAAGCATAAGTATAGTGTTCCACTAAAGAACAAATTAAAAGATTACTCCGACCACCTCCGAGACTATTGTCCTCAGGAGCTACATGATCATGTCACTTGGAAACCTAAGACTAACATTATCCCTGCAAATTTCTCCCACTCTAAAAAATGGGTCCCACTTCCACATTATCATATTTACAAATCATCTACTATTCACACTATATTCCTGTAATATTCTCTCACTTTCTAAAGTGATCCCACCTTCATATTATATTATAAATATAATAATATAATAATAATAAAAGAGATTTAAAAAAAATAGAAAAGAACCAAAAAGTCAAATAATGCTGCTGTTGACAGCAAAAAGCTGCCTAGCAAGCTGTTTAGCAAACTTGCTAATTCTGCAAGTTTGCTAGACAGATGGCAGTAAAAAATAAAAGAAAATAATATTGTGTTTCCATGTCATCATCCATGTCATCTTGTAAAGCTTAAATTTGCTTGGATAATTTCAGTCTAAGATCAAATCTTGTAGATTAAGCACCTCAACTCAGTTTCGATTTCACTTACTAACCACGGTTAACTAAAAAGTTTTAACTACGGTTAAGACTTGTATATAACTCACCTTGTGATTCAAGAACATATTTTTTTCCCTTGATTTTCTCCAAAAGAACCCGCATTTACCTGGGAAAATTACCTTTTTTAAGGAAAGGTTCTAAACAAGAAAAGAAAGGAAGAAGGAGATGGATAGCTCATCAGCAATGGCGGCAAAAAAGAGAAAGCCAAGAACCCCGGCAACTCCTGGTGATTTAAGGACATTTCCCTTTTCTTTCTCTTTTTCTATTTTTTTTTGGGTTTTTCTTGGATTTTCTGTTAATTAGATTTGTGGAATGGGGGGCGTGTTTTAATTTGCAGGTGAAGATACAGAAGTGATAGCTCTGTCGCCGGCGTCTCTGACGGCGGCGAGCAGATTCTTCTGCGACGTCTGCGGAAAAGGGTTTCAAAGAGAGCAGAACTTGCAGCTCCACCGCCGGAGCCACAGCTTGCTGTGGGGGCTCAAGCAACGAACCGGCGGCGGCACTGCGGCGGCGGCGAGGCGGCGCGTGTACGTTTGCCCAGCCCCGAGCTGCCCCCACCATGACCCGTCCAAAGCCCTCGGCGATCTCTCCGGAATCAAAAAACATTTCTGCCGGAAACACGGCGAGAAGAAGTTCGGCTGCCACCGCTGCGGCAAGAAATACGCCGTCCAGTCCGACATAAGAGCCCACGCCAAGATTTGCGGCACCAAAACCTATCATTGCGACTGCGGCGTCATGTTTAACAAGTAAACTTCTATCATTAATTTCTTCCGATCCTTAAACCTTTCAAGATTTAATTCACTACGTTAATTCATCCTTAAATCCTTAAAATTTCAAACATTACATGATGATTTGCAGGTGGAACGACTTTGCAAGGCACAAGGAATACTGCGGCTTATTATTAGCACAAGCCATTGCGAAATCACCGCCGGTTTCCAGTCTGCAGCCACCGCCGTCTCTAGCGCTGTCCATGGCGGCTTCCGGTGAGAAAAAAACGTTCTTTAGTACGTGAAGATAGTAAGTTTACATGCATAAAGCGGTTTGTTTGGTCATATGCTACGTACGTGGCATCCTGGGAGGTGTTGTAGTGACGTAATTAACGTAACGTTTTACAGTAAAGATGAAGCACCGTAGTTGGATTGTTTGCGGATGTCAGAGGTTGTTCAAATGATGGGTTGGTGATGAGCGTTTTCATGTGAATTGGGTCTTTATTCTGTTGCTTTGACTTGTCCCTTTCTGCCCTTCTCTTGTTTTCATGACTTGGCTTAGCTATCTATATTTTATTTTGTTAGAGCACCGAGTTGTCTTGAGCAGACTCTTTGACTAATCTTAGGGCAAAGTGCTGGTCAGATTGATTATTCTATACGAGATGGGGATTCGAACTCCCGACTTCTCTTAAGGGGCAAGAGTGCACAGTCACTCACGCAAACCAAGTTGGTTATAGCTATCTATATTTGGTAATGGGTTGGAATTGAGTTATTGTCCAATTTTATTTTTACTCTAGACTAGATAAAATTTTTCAAGAAAATTTAAGTTGTTTGTGGGTAAATTTGTAGACGTTAATAAGCCAAAGACCTTATGATTAAGCGGTAGATTCTCCCAAATGAAAGATCAGAAGTCTACACCTTGTTGGGTATGCTTCCAAAAGAAAAAGAAAAAGAGGTTAATAAGTCGTTTACGCGCCCAAGGGCGTGTGCACTACACGCGCTTCTTGCGTGCGACGCTGTAAAAGTATTTTATGCGCCTAGGGGCGCGTGGACTACATACGCATCTTGCATGCGATGCGTTGTTCATGTGCGCTGTCCATTTCCACGCGGGCCCCGCATATTAGATCAAAATCCCTAACTCCAGCAAGTAACTCACTCATTCTCTCTCTTCATATTCTCTCCTCTACATCATCCATTTTCTCCTAAAAAACTGTGAAGATCCCTCTATTGGGGATGACCTAAGGGTTTTACCAGCCTTGGTTACATGTTGTTCTTTTTGGAGTGCATAAAGTGTAACTAACCTAAGTTAATTACCCGTTGTTCTAATTTATATAGAGTTCGTTTGGAATAGAATATACAATAAAAATTATCAGGTAGACATCAGGTGTTAACTTAATAAACGCTTTAGCATGCTAAATAGATTATATTATAATCTAATTACGTTAGATTTTAGAGACCACAGTAGAATGAAATTTTATTTTTTCCCTTTTATATGTTATATATGTATATGGTGAATAATATAATGTTGATTTTGGTGTGACAGAAATAGAATTCCCTGCAAGTGAGGATGGCCACGAGGAAACACTTGATGCTTCTGCCGCCGGCGACCTTATTAAGCTGAAGGCCGGAGATTCCCCGTCAACATCATCAGCTCCGGCGAGACAATCATTGATGGCGGCCTCCAAGTCAATGGCGTCTTGTTCTGATGATTTTTTTGGTGCTTTAATGGAGCCAACGCTGCCGCTCTCTTTTCTATGTTCTCCTCATCATCTCGCCGCCACCAACGCTGCATCGTCATCTCAGTACGTGGCGGTGGCGGCAACAAGTCCTCCGCCGGCGCTATCCGCCACCGCACTGCTTCAAAAGGCGGCGCAAGCAGGCTCAATTTACTCCGCCGGTGGTTCGTTTCTTCATGGACTCGCCGGTTTATCAATGATGAGCGGTTTCAATAATAATAATCCCCTGCAGAATAATGGTTATGTAGCACTACCTGAAAATACTACGTCAATGGTTTCCTCCGGTGGGTTGCCGGATTCCATGGTGGAGCGGGCATCTCCGGCGGTGATATTCAGTACCCAGCAGCTCCAAACCCTTGATTTTCTTGGCAATGGCAATGACAATCACAGCGGCATTTTTGGTCGATTGGGTTTTCCTTAGGCCGCCATATCTGATCTGATCGAGCTCCATAGCTGTCTGCTTCACTCAGCTCCTGTCTTGGCTTTAGTTGATGTATTCAATATTCATGGCCTTTAATTTCTATGTTTAGTTTTAATTTTGTACCTAAATTAAGTTGATTTTAGTTTTAATTTGGTGGTATATTATATTATTGCTGCTGTAATGTTATATTGAAACTTCGATGGGCGCTTGTTTTTATAAGTTTTTTAAAAAATATATATAAAAAGAATTTTATTAACTCTAGTCAATTAAGTTCGAGTTTTAATTCACTTTTTTTAGTCGAGTCCAACTTTGAATTTTAATTATTCGGACTCGATTACTCGAATCATAATTTCAAAAATTTTACGTCGAATATATTGATAATTAGTTTGGAATGTCTCGCTATATGATTTTCGTAGGTTGATAAATCTAGACCTAGCATAAGCATGTCTTCCCAATTCTTATGAACTCGTCACAAGGCCTATAAGGCTATAAAGGAAGTAAATCCTGATCGAGTTGCTTAAATGATTCCTATCGGCCCCCATCTCTCATTTGTATTGCTTAGTGAGGTTTGGTCGATCACTTGAACTACCCTGACAGGCAAGTTGGACGATAACTGTTTTTATTTTGTTGGTTTGTCTTTTAAATTACTTTTAGGTTGTATTGTTAAAAAATTGACAAATTTAAAAGAATTAATTAATAAGTTAATGGTTAAAACTAAGGATTAATATTTGATGCACCCTAGATGCTATATATCCGTGGTGAAAGAGAAGATGCCACATCATTAAAAAAAAAAAAAAAAAAAAAAAAAAAAAAAAAAAAAAAAAAAAAAAAAAAAACTGAAAAAAACCCTCAACCCCCCCCCCCCCCCCCCTCCCCCCTCCCAAATCCCAAAAATTCTGACAAAATCCCTTAAATAACCTAACAACCCCAACCCTCTCTCTCCTCCAACACATCAACTTTTTCTTAAATTAAAATATGTGTAAAATCCCCCTAATGGAGATGCCCTAAGTGTGATTAGCAAAGAGAAACAGAAAAAAAAAAAAAAAAAAAAAGAGAGAGAGAGAGAAAAATAAACAAGACTGCTTTAAAAAAAATAAAAATAAATAAAGAAGCATGTCAGGCATACTTGTCAGCATGCCTGACGCGCCACCCGCGCATGTGTGTAGTGTACGCGGTCGACGTGGCTTTGCTGACGAGATATAATTTTTTTTGTAATATTTGCTGACAAAATATAATTTTTTTGTCAGTAAAGATATAGAATCAATGACGTTTTATAATAAACGTCCCTAAATGTTTTATTTAAAAAATCAATTTTAACTTAAAACGTCAGGAAAAGTGCAAATATTTTTGCGGGAAAACTATTTATCTTTTGACGCGATCTTATACATAAAATTTTACAGCCACAAATCTTTCTCATTTACTCCAGTGAACCCTCTTTGTCTCCCAGTGCACGCAAGACTTTTACAGCGCGTCGCACGCAAGATGCGCGTGTAGTGCATGCGCCCCTGGGCGTGTAAAAGACTTTTATTTTTATTTTTTTTTTCTTTTTTGCCGCCATTGCTGATGAGCTATCCATCTCCTTCTACCTTCCTTTTCTTGTTTAGGGTATCTTCAAAATCTACGAACATTTCCTTAAAACCTGTCTGCAAAGTTGAAAGCTTTCATGTTTTTGTGTATGAACATAGCTCATAGATTTTGTTTACAATGCAAGAAAGAACACACACATATATAGGGGCGGATTCAACTTCAGAGGGGCAACCGTGCACTCTCTTTCCTTAATAAAGGCCGGGAGTTCGAATCCCCGCTTGAATCACTAGCTAGGTTACAGAGAAACAGTGGACCAGGTTATATACAAGTCTTAATCGTAGTTAAAGCTTTAATTAACTGTGGTTAGTGAGTGAGATCGAAACTGAGTTGAGGTGCTTAATCTGCAAGATTTGATCTTAGGTTTCCAGGTGGCATGATCATGTAGCTTCTGAGGACAATGTCGGAGGTGGTCGGACAGCGCAGGGTGAGTAATCTTTTGTTGTTTAGTGGAACACTGTACTGATGCTTGACGAATCAAAATGGGTTAGTTTATACTTTTTAGTTCAAAATCACTAATCTTTCGCAGCTTTTGGTATGCTTCTTTTTCTATCTTTAGTGAGTTGAGGAGCCAATGGAGGAAAATTGGAGTAACTGTAGATGGATCCACCAAAAAATTAAAATGTCAATCAATTTTTAAGTTTAGTGTGTTGATGAAGTTGTAGCTAGTGAGGTTTAATATGTATGTGGAGTTATACTCGGTATTAATGTTTTTTCCTTTCAAATTGAGATGCATGTTTAACTAGTGCCTAGATGGAGGTAGTGTCAACGGGGTTCAATATGTGGAACTATATCCACGTGCACATTTTTTCAAATTGAGAAATATGTCTAAAGTTGTCTTTAGAGCAACCACATCAGTGGCTTTTGCTCGATTTTTGAAAAGAAAAAATCAATATATGATTTTTAGTTGATGAGAGAGGTGGTTTTTGGCAAATTATATCATGTACCAGGGCGCACAATGCATTGTGCGCCCTAACAGTTATGTGTCTTATATTAAGAGTTTATGTGTATCGTGTATTATGTATTATGTTAGATTATGTGTATTATATTAGTAGTTTATGTATATTCTTGTATATAATTATATACATACGGAACAAGAGATTTTTAGGGTGCACAATGCATTGTGCGCCCTTGTGCACGATATAACAATTGGTGGTTTTTGAGAGGTTTTTATTCCTGCAAATTTAAATTTTGTGTGGGCCCAAACTTTAAAAGGAAAAGAGAAAAGCAAGCTGGCAGGTGCGCGTTTCGCGAACTTACTGCGCCTAATTGGCGCGTAAATGCTGTATGTTTTAATTCTTTCTTTCCCTTTTTGACTGTCAATTACGTTATTCTTTTCATTTTTTTCATTGTTTTTCTTTCTCCTTCCCCTCTCTTTCCTATATGGAATGACAAAAACCAAATCATTGTGGATGATCTTAGTAGTTTATTTCCATTGTGATTTTTGAGGAGTTTTTATAAGTGTGATTAGGAAAGAGAAAAAAAATGTGGGAGAAAAAGAAAAAGAAAAAATAAAACAAATTTAGACATTAAAAAAAAAATTGAACAAGCTTTACCGTTTACGCGCCAGCTAGGCGCACGAAACGCGCACCTGTCATCATTAATGCTTTCATTAATTTTTGCCAATGGGCCCCACAAAGATGCATCCCTTGCAGGAAAAAAAAAAGAGAAAAAAAAAAAAGAAAAAAAAAGAAAAAAAAGGCACCCCTTCCCACACTAGTTAAAAATCCATCTTTAAATTTTTCATCTGAAAAAAACAAATAATGTGCACCACTATGGTTGCTCTTAGAACAGTACCAAAAAAAGGGGTTGAGTTTTTGTTGATGAGGAGTGAGGTTTTTTGGAGCTTTTTATTCTTGCAAGAATAAATTTTTTATATGACCCACTGATTGAGAAAGGAAAGCAAAGCAAAGCAAGCAGCCTCGCGTGCAGGAGACGCAGACGCCCAGCTAGGCGCGGGTTTTTTCGGTAACTAAAAAATGCTCTTAGCTTGTTGTTTTTTATTATTTTTATTTTTTATAGAAAGGGGATACCCTATTATTACATCAAATGCCTCCATTAAGGTTCAAAATTATCACCTCCCACATAAGAAAACAACATAGTACCATTGGACTACAAGGTCCTTGGTTGTCTAAAATTGTCATTAGAGCAACCATATAAGTGATTTTTACTCGATTTTTTAGAAAGAAAAAATCAATATATGATTTTTTTTAGTTGATGGGAGGGGTGATTTTTGAGAGTTTTTTTTCCTACAAATTTAGGTTTTTTGTGGGCCCTAAACTTTGAAAGGAAAGAAAAAAAGCAAGTTGGCAGGTGCGTGTTTCGCGCACCTACTGTGCCTAGCTGGCGCGTAAATGCGGTATGTTTTAATTCTTTCTTTCCCTTTTTGACTGTCAATTACATTTTTCTTTTCATTTTTTTCATTGTTTTTCTTTCTCCTTCTCCCTCTCTTTCCTATATGGTATGACAAAAAATCAAATAAAATCTTCAATTGATGATGCTCTTATCTCTGGTAGAAATAAAAGTAATTTAAAAGACAATCCAACAAAATAAGAACAATAATTATCGTCCAACTTGTCTTGTTAGGGTAGTTCAAGTGATCGACAAAACCTCATTGAGCAGAAGAAACGAGGGACGGGGGCCAATAGGAATCATTTAAGCAACTCATCATTAATTACTTCCTTCATATACCTTTTGTGACAAGTTCATAGGAATTGGGAAGACATGCTCATGCTAGGTCTAAATTTATCAATCTATGAAAATTATATAGCGAGACATTCCAAACTAATTAACAATATGTTTGACGTAAAATTTTTGAAATTATAATTCGAGTAATCGAGTCTAAATAATTAAAATTCAAAATTGGACTCGACTAGAAAAGTGAATTGAATCTCGAACTTAACTAGAGTTAATAAAATTCTTTTATATATTTAATTTTTACACAAAAACTTATAAAAACAAGCGCTTTACCAATAAATATCATCAAAATTTCAATGTTATATCTTAGTTATTTTATAATAAAAATAAGGCTCAAATGAATCATTTCAAAAAAAAAAAAAAAAAAAAAAAAAAAAGGCTCAAATGAATCATTAAATTATACACAAAACTACAATTGAGCAGTCCTGATTAAGGAACAACAAAATATGAGATATAACATTACAGCAGCAATAATATAATATACCACCAAATTAAAACTAAATTAAAATCAACTTAATTTAGGTACAAATTAAAACTAAACATAGAAATTAAAGGCCATGAATATTGAATACATCAACTAAAGCCAAGACAGGAGCTGAGTGAAGCAGACAGCTATGGAGCTCGATCAGATCAGATATGGCTGCTGGGGACTGAATATCACCGCCGGAGATTCCCGCTGGTCCACCATGGAATCCGGCAACCCACCGGAGGAAACCATTGACGTAGTATTTTCAGGTGTTGCTGCATAACCATTATTCCATTTCATGATAGCGCCATTATTCTGCAGGGGATTATTATTGAAACCGCTCATCGTTGATAAACCGAGTCCATGAAGAAACGAACCACCGGCGGAGTAAATTGAGCCTACTTGCGCCGCCTTCTGAAGCAGTGCGGTGGCGGATAGCGCCGGCGAAGGATACTGAGACGACGATGCAGCGTTGGTGGCGGCGAGATGATGAGGAGAACATAGAAAAGAGAGCGGCAGCGTTGGCTCCATTAAAGCACCAAAAAAATCATCAGAACAAGACGCCATTGACTTGGAGGCCGCCATCAATGATTGTCTCGCCGGAGCTGATGATGTTGACGGGGAATCTCCGGCCTTCAGCTTAATAAGGTTGCCGGCGGCAGAAGCATCAAGTGTTTCCTCGTGGCCATCCTCACTTGCAGGGAATTCTATTTCTGTCACACCAAAATCAACATTATATTATTCACCATATATATATATATATATATATATATATATATATATATATATATATATATATATATATATATATATATATATATATATATATATTGTTGGCTCAAAGTATTTTGTCAAAGTTATTTGCAAAAAGAATTCCACTTCTATAAAGGAATGGGGATTTTTTGTTGAAGATTTTCTAGTTCTATTTTGATTAGGAATAGTTTGTTATTCACGAATCTGTTAGGAATAGCTACTATAAATAGGGGATGTCCTTTATTGTAGATCTCAAGCATTCAACATTAATCTTGTGAGGTACGAGAGTCTTTGAGAATAGGATACTAAATTCCCCTAGAAAGTAGTACATGTGTTTAGGTTTCAATAGTTTGGTAGGAAAGATCATTCTATTGTGTAATCTCAGGTTCCAAACAATGTACTTTAAATATTGAGCTTTTAGTGGATTTTAGGCAAGTTCTCAAATTGAGAAGTGCCTCGCAGATTAGGGTTGTTTGCCCGAACTGCGTTACAGATCGTTTGTGTTACAACTTCAATTTCGGTGCTGCGGGCTTTACAAATTTTCATATATATATATATATATATATATATATATATATATATATATATAACATACAAAAGGGAAAAAATAAAGTTTCATTCTACTATGGTCTCTAAAATCTAGTGTAATTAGATTATAATATAATCTATTTAGCATGCTTAAGGCATTTATTAAGATAACACTTGATGTCTGCCTGATAATTTTTATTGTATATTCTATTCAAAATGAACTCTATATAAATTAGAACGGGTAATTAACTTAGGCTAGTTACAATTTATGCACCCCAAAATTAAAAAAAAAAACAAGCTAAGTAATCAAGGCTGGTTAAACACTTAGGCCATCCCCAATAGAGGGATCTTCATAATTTTTTAGGAAAAAATGGATGATGTGGAGGAGAGAATACGAAGAGAGAGAATGAGTGAGTTACTTGTAGGAGTTAGGGATTTTGGTCTAATATGCGGGGCCCGCATGGAAATGGACTGCACACATGAACAGCGCGTCGCATGCAAGATGCGTATGCAGTGCACAAGCCCCTAGGCACGTAAAAGACTTTTACAGCGCGTCGCACGCAAGAAGCGCATGCAGTGCACGCGCCTAAAAGACTTAGAGATCCGAGACGAGGGTTAAAAAAGCCTTATTAACCTCTTTTTCTTTTTCTTTTGGAAGCATACCCAACAGGGTGTAAACTTCTGATCTTTCATTTAGGAGAATCTACCGCTTAATCATAAGGTCTTTGACTTATTAACCTCTACTAATTACCCACAAACAACTTAAATTTTCTTGAAAAATTTTATCTAGTCAAGATTAAAAATAAAATTGGACAATAACTCAATTCCAACCCATTACCAAATATAGATAGCTATAACCAACTTGGTTTGCGTGAGTGGCTATGCGCTCTTGCCCTTTATTAAGAGAGGTCGGGAGTTCGAATCTCCCTCTCGTATAGAAAAATCAATCTGGCCAGCACTTTGCCCTAAGATTAGTCTAAAGGTGTCTCCTACAGTTAGGGTCAAGACAACTCGGTGCTCTAATAAAATAAAATATAGATAGCTATGCCAAGTCATGAAAACAAGAGAAGGGCAGAAAGGGACAAGTCAAAGCAACAGAATAAAGACCCAATTCACATGAAAACGCTCATCACCAACCCATCATTTGAACAACCTCTGACATCCTCAAAACAATCCAACTACGGTGCTTCATCTTTACTGTAAAACGTAACGTTAATTACGTCACTACACGACCTCCTAGGATGCCACGTACGTAGCATATGACGCAAACAAACCGCTTTATGCATGTAAACTTACTATTTTCACGTACTAAAGAACGTTTTTTTCTCACCTGACGCCGCCATGGACAGCGCTAGAGACGGCGGTGGGTGCAGACTGGAAACCGGCGGTGTTTTCGCAATGGCTTGTGCTAATAATAAGCCGCAGTATTCCTTGTGCCTTGCAAAGTCGTTCCACCTGCAAATCACCATGTAATGTTTGAGATTTTAAGGATGAATTAACGTAGTAAATTAAATCTTGAAAGGTTTAAGGAAGAAATTAATGATAGAAGTTTACTTGTTAAACATGACGCCGCAGTCGCAATGATACGTTTTGGTGCCGCAAATCTTGGCGTGGGCTCTGATGTCGGACTGGACGGCGTATTTCTTGCCGCAGCGGTGGCAGCCGAACTTCTTCTCGCCGTGTTTCCGGCAGAAATGTTTCTTGATTCCGGAGAGATCGCCGAGGGCTTTGGACGGGTCATGGTGGGGGCAGCTCGGGGCTGGGCAAACGTACACGCGCCGCCTTGCCGCAGTGCCGGCGGCGGTTCGTTGCTTGAGCCCCCAAGGCAAGTTGTGGCTCCGGCGGTGGAGCTGCAAGTTCTGCTCTCTTTGAAACCCTTTTCCGCAGACGTCGCAGAAGAATCTGCTCGCCGCCGTCAGAGACGCCGGCGACAGAGCTATCACTTCTGTATCTTCACCTGCAAATTAAAACACGCCCCTCATTCCACAAATCTAATTAACAGAAAATCCAAGAAAAACCCAAAAAAAAAATAGAAAAAGAAAAAGAAAAGGGAAATGTCCTTAAATCACCAGGAGTTGCCGGGGTTCTTGGCTTTCTCTTTTTTGCCGCTATTGCTGATGAGCTATCCATCTCCTTCTTCCTTTCTTTTCTTGTTTAGGGTATCTTCAAAATCTACAAACCTTTCCTTAAAAAGGTAATTTTACCAGGTAAATGAAGGTTCTTTTGGAGAAAATCAAGAGAAAAAAATATGTTCTTGAATCATTGGGTGACAAAGAAACAGTGGACCAGGTTATATACAAGTCTTAACCGTAGTTAAAACTTTTTAGTTAACCGTGGTTAGTGAGTGAGATCGAAACTGAGTTGAGGTGCTTAATCTACAAGATTTGATCTTAGGTTTCCAAGTGGCATGATCATGTAGCTTCTGAGGACAGTAGTCGTCGGAGGTGGTCGGAGTAATCTTTTAATTTGTTCTTTAGTGGAACACTATACTGATGCTTTACGGATCAAAATGGGTTAGTTTATACTTTTTAGTTCAAAATCACTAATCTTGCGCAGCTTTTGGTATGGTTGTTTTTCTATCTTTAGTGAGTTGAGGAGCCAATTGAGGAAAGTTGGAGTAAATGTAGATGGATACACCAAAAAATTAAAATGTCAATCAATTTTTATGTTTAGTGTGTTGATTAAGTTGGAGCTAGTGATCAACAATTAAGCCACTGGAGAAACACTGCAAATTTTTAAGAATAAATATCTATGTAATTTTCTTTATATAAATTAAACAATCAAAGTGAACAAATAATCAAATAAAAATTATAAAATTAGTATGCAAGTTAGTAACTTACCTTGATAGTTGGAACTTCGAAGAAGTGAAGAACCAAGAGTCTGCAATGGGTGAAAGCCGTGAGGCGGTGAGGCTCACTGGCTGAGTGGCGACCGGCGAGGCAGCGAGCGCTTGAGCAGGGACAGGCGAGAGGCCGGGCTGGCGGGCTATGACAATCTTTTAAGAGATTAAGAGACAGAGCGAGGGAGAGAAGCCAGAGAGGGTTGCGATTTGCGATATTTGCGAATTTGCGATTAGGATTTTAGGTTTGTCTCTCAATCTCTCCGTCTCTCGCAAACCCTAAACAAGAAAAGGAAGGTAGAAGGAGATGGATAGCTCATCAGCAATGGCGGCAAAAAAGAAAAAAAAAAAGAAAAAAAAAAGTCTTTTACACGCCCAGGGGCGCGTGCACTACACGCGCATCTTGCGTGCGACGCGCTGTAAAAGTCTTGCATGCGACGCGCTGTTCATGTGTGCTGTCCATTTCTAGGCCATTTGAGATCCAGATTTGGCCCTCATGTTTGACAGCCGTGGCTGTCCGGCTGCCCTTGTCGGATAGCCACAGTTGTCTGTGAAATACGGAGCCACCGGACAACCGGTGGCTTAAATTCTTTTTTTTTTGGTTATATATATATATATATATATATATATATATATATATATATATATATATATATATATATATATATATATATATATATATAATTGAATAGACAACCTGTTAGCAACCTGCAAAAAAAGTCAATCGAACAAATTTAGCTGGTGGAACCTATTTGACATTTAATTTAGTTCGTGGTGAGAATTGAGCACTTTGCAGTAGTAGATAGGCCTATTTGACATTTCTGCATTTTTTTAATGTAATTATGTTTTAAGAAAATTATACCTTTCGTCCATAAATTATATAGTAATTGTAGAATTCGTGCATGAGTGTTGGCTATACTCACTTTTCGTCCCTAAATTATTATTGATGTTGCACTTTTCGTCCATTTACTAATAAAAAATTAGAGACAAAACTTTACAATTTTAATATAACTCAGGAACGAAAATGAGCACGAAAAGGCCAAAAAAAGTTACATCAATGATAACTTAAGAACAAAAAGTTATCTTGACCAACACTCAGGATCAAATTCTATAATTATCTTATAACTGAAGAATGAAAATACAAATTTTTTTTTATATTCTTTTATATAATTTATAAATTATTACACAAAATAAAATTTATTCAGTGCAAAATTTTTTATAGTGACTGCGGCCTAAAAACATCGATGGTATGTGATTAAATGATAGCTATATATAGAAAGATTACTATACAGATGAATACGGAGAGGAGTATTTCACTGTGTCTAATTTCAAATTACCATATAAAAAATTAAAAAGAATTGGATTAGATGAATGATACATGCATCTTAGAAAGGGTTGAATTCACAAATTATTATATGAATTCACAGATTTGATTTCCTTAGAACAAACTTCAACTCTTACCACTTTCCGTATCTTTCAAGTGTCTTAGATTTGCAGTTCAATTTTGGATCTTCTCTGATATCTCCATCTGCAAACGCTCAAATCACATTGTTTATCAAATGCTGCGTCGATGCTTGAGCGCCTAATCGGGTCAGGCGCTTCATTTCTCTTGGATCCTGTACTCCATCGAGCGTCTAATCTGGTATACTCCACTTCACTTTTATTTGAATTATTATTCTGATAGAGTTTATTTGCGTTGGTTTTCTGCTTTGGATTTATTATTATTGTTGTTGGGTTTCTGTTTTATGTGCGAATTGCCAGGAAGAAAAGATGTAATATGGGGCCGGAAGTGTTAAATTCAACCTAATTAATATGAATTTTAAAGGCTAGACCTTTGATCAGTGCCGCTGAAAAAAAATCCGATATTGGTTCTATACATTTCTTGCTTGAGTGAAAAGTGGAATGCTTAAAACATAGTTACCGTGCAATAGATGGTTAAGTTGTTAAGGACTTTTACCTCCTCAAGGGGTTTGCTTGTGTTTCTCCAGATAACCTGATTATTTCTGTTTTCTTTTGGGTAGGATGGGTTTTTGGGTTGGGGTTCCTTTATACGGAAATAGTGGAACATCATCAATTTTGTTATTGTGATTGTTAGTTAGATGAGTAGAACAATATCACTTTTTATGCCACATGTAGAAATAGTATTTTATAAAGTTGTAAATTTTTCTTTTGAAACTTCGGTTTTACTTTTTTCCGACCTTTGTGAATTAAGCAGAACTTTACATATGTTATCATGGATCTTGAATCCTTTTTCCAACAGTCATTTATGTTTTTAGACCTTTTTCCTCATTTCAGGGTTAGAGGGTAAAGCTAGTTACATAAATTATTATATGCATTCCTGTGATACCTCCATCTATGTTTGGGGGTCCTGTGACTCCTGTTAACAGTCCGCTTCTACGGAGGTCTGGCAGCCGAGCAGTTGTCTCTGATCTTGGTAAGAGAAGGTTTTGCATTTGAATGTCACCATTGACTGATTGACTTGCAATCTGTTTTCCCTTTTGTTGTGCAATTGGTTATGCTATAGGATATCCTAATGGTTGGGAAAAAAAATACTAGGTGTGGTTGAGCTAGGAACTGGTGCTGAAGAAGAAATTTTGCATTCAATTGAGGTGAATGAAATGAAAGGTGTGAGCACATCATTGAGCAGCACGGCAATATTGCCATCTCCAACCTTGCTGTGGAGATTTAAGGTGTCAACTCCTGTCATGTTCTTCAGTCAGAATCATGTTTCATGTCTCACTGATAAATTTCCATTTTATATTTCTTTCCTGTTTTCTTAGAGGGTAGTCTTGAATTCAAAAGGAACTTTTTGTTCCCTGTGCCATTTTATTTCTGCAGTTTTAAGTGCACTACATTTTTTCTGTTATGTTTCTGTTTCATTTAACCCTTACTTCTTTGCAAGAGTCTAACCAAGATATGTTCAGGTTCTTCTGTTTTTGGTATGGGGTTTCAGTTGCTGTAAGGTCAGTGCGTTTCTTTCGTTTTAATTTGCCTAATACATTGTTGTGTATCAGTGACAAGAGATTTGCTTCAATAGGGTTGTTTTTATTAGCAGCCGATGGCTGATATGTGAGTGTTAACTTGCAGATTGGGTGGCATTCAGTCATGAGAATGAGTGTAAACCTGCGGGATTTATTTTTGTATGAGGCTTTTCTTTACTATAATCCTCTTCTTCTCGTGGTTAGTGGGATTTGCTTAATATAATATTTATTAGATCACCAGGACCTTTCAATTTTTATTTATTCCTGCTCTTTCTGGTATATAAGGTTTTTCCCCCTTTTTGTTATTGCAGACCTTGATGGTTTGGTTTTGGGGTGCAAACTTGTGGGTATTTGTGCAGTCTAATGTCAACTACTCCAAAATATTTGACCTTGATCAAAATCATCTCACTCATAGAGAAATTTGGAGGGTATTTATGCTGACCATCAGATAACAGCCTCTATGCTCCACAATGGTGTACTGTCTTGGCATATTGACTTATTCTTATTTGCTTCATATTGCAGTGTGCTACCTGGATGACAATAATTGTCCCAACTAGCATGACAGCCTATCTATATCTTTATTCGCACGGGGAAGTCTCATTGGCTGCATTCCAACCAGTGTAATAGATGACCCCTCTCTTAAAATCAGTTGTTAACTTTTTCTCTCATGCGTTTTAACATACAGCAGACCACTTTTTAAAATCTTAAAATATTTGAAGTCAGATTTCCTTTTTTCATATCTAATGTAGATATAGATCTGACATACTTGTGCTAAAGAATTCCTCACATATGATACTTAATTCCGATGCATGCAATTGTAGGTGCTCCTATATGCTGCTGTTACCATGGCGCTGATATCACCTTTTGATGTTTTCTATTTATCAACTCGCTACTTTTTCTTAAGGACTTGCTGGAGGATAGTTTTCCCACTACAGGCAAGTTTGCTTTATTGCAATTTTTATAGTTAACCATATGCTTTGTTTTTCTTAGCGACTAGCCTTGCTTTGACATATGGTTCCATTGCTTCAAATTGCCAGATCTCCCATATATTCTCATGGGTTAAAATTTTAGACTTTAATGGTTTTTGTTGAACCAATAACAAATTATTTGCTGTTTTGCTTCAATACTAATTTAATGAAAAGTATTCATTGCCTTATTTGAATTTTAATTCTGTGAATGCAGGCAATATCTTTTGCTGACTTCTTTTTGGCTGATATTTTCACCTCCATGTCTAAGGTATCCATATTTTGGTATGTTCTTATAAGGATAATTTCATCTAAACCACCTAAACCCCTAAGGTTTCTGATAATTTGGTTGGATGCCCTCTAGTTGTGTAATTACACCCAGAAC